CTACCTGATACAGTCTGAAGAATGCTTTTTGTTTGCTAATACTTTACTAAGTACTTGGTATTTAGGCTATTTGACCTCACAGGATTTTCACATGATGCTGTGTCCTTATTTACTTTGCCACACCTAAGGACATTTTAGGTAAATAATGTAAAATGCATACTCTAAGAATGTTCTTGTTCACACCTCAAATCAGATTGTTTCACCAGAAAGTAGTCCTTCTGTTGTCATCTTTTAGAGCTATTTAAAAACAAACTGATCATTCCACAGGGAAATCCTTTTCTTATGTTTGAATGTCCATGCACACCTATAGGGAAATAATGACCTAAAATTTCTCACTTTTAAAGAAGTGTTTACTTTGCTCTGATGTTGGCTTGTAAATAAGTTTTCTTTGTTACCTCTACCCTTATTTACAGTTCATTCAACATTAAAAGCATTTTGTACTCTCTGTGAACTTGTGGAAAATAGTAGTAAGGGCAGTTAACACATTTTTAGATATGTTCAATCCAAAGCCATCTAACTTTCAAAAGATGTTAGATGTTTATTCAAAGCTAAAGTAGGTATTTAAATGTATGCTTAGGTTTATCCTTTTAAATAGGCAGATGCTCAGGAAATCTAAGCAACTTTTCATTTGCCCTATGATAGACTGTAGATTAGCTGCTGTCTCTGAGTAGTGGCCAAAGATCACTTGCAGAATTTATTCAGTAGCACTCCTGGATTGACTGAATAAGGTAAATATCTTTTCCAGACATTGGTATATCAGTTTTAACTGAACATTGCTTTTGTGCTATGCCTTGAGTATAAAACTTCAAAGTATCATTTGCTTGTGTATGTATAGATGACTCAAGCTACTGATGAATAAAATGAGTGAAGAGTGGACAATAAAACTGGTTTAGAGTAATCTCCTGGACACAACTACTGCGAGTATGCATGCTATCAAGTGCTATTAAATGGAAGAAAGAAAATCTCCCAGCAGTTTCATTGCCCCACCCCTCCTGCTTTTTGAGTGTAGTCATTGTATTTGACTAAACCTGAATTTAGGAATAAATTTAGCTGATGTGAACAGATGTAATTCACTGCAATTTTGGTTTATATAACTCTCCCCCCCCCCCCCCCCCCCCCAAAAAAAAAAAAAAAAAAACATAAATGAAATAAAACCAAAACAAAGCAAAGAAACTAAAACCAAAACAAGCAAACAAAACACCCAGAAAAATTTACAGTTATTTAGTCAGGGCTCTCTTCTGAGCAAAAATATTCTCCTCCCCCCCTTCTGTTCAAAGAACCCTAAATAAATGCTCTGCATTTGTAATAGTATAGTGTATTCCAACGATTTTGGCAAATACCTTACAGAAACAGGACCACAGGGAGACTTCAGAATAAAGCTCCTTTTAAGTGTTACAGAGAGAAAACTAAAATAATTTTACTAAGGAGATTATTTCAGTTTTCATTTTGTTTAATTCTTTGTCCTCAGTGTGCCATGTGCTCTAAATTTAATAAACAGTTCATAGTTTATCCTGCCCAGTAGTACATTTTAAAGTTCTATCACAGCCTCTAACACTATTTTTATCTCTAGCCAACCATTATTACTTAGTCAAGTGCTGTTTTTAAGATGATATAAACCTTATTCTTTATTATTTTGTTCACTATTTGAAGAATAAACATCTGGAGGAAGTGAAAAGACAAGAACAAGAGTTATTGGAGGCCCAGTCTGTTCCACTACGAAACTATTTAATGAGGAATGTCATGCCAATGCTTATGCAAGGGGTAAATGAATGCTGTAGGATCAGGCCAGATGATCCAGTTGATTTTCTGGTAAGATTACATCATATTTCTTAAACATATTTGAATATTCATAGAGACCCAAAGAATGTCTGTTAACATAAGGACTGAAAATCTTTTTCCCCACAGTCATGATAAAAATTAATTAAGGGTTTGAATCTGCAGTTCTGGTGAGCAGTAATTACTGTGAAAATTGAAAAAACAGCAACTATTCTTTATGGGATCAGTTGATACTGTGTATCAAGTAAGGACACAATCCAGCTTTGCTGAACAGTGATAGGACAAGAATCACTACCACAATCTCTTTGGCATGTGTACTCTACATCTCTTAGGGACTCTTGCCAGTTCTGCTGTGACATAGAGACCAGAAAGCAGGATATTACCCTCTATCCACCCTCTAAAAAGGACACACCCCTCTAGGCACAACAGAACACATTACTGTAATAATAAATTAATGCCCTTTGGTAGTTCCATTTACAATACACAGATAACTTAATGAGTAAATCCTAGAAGACATCTACTGAATAATTCCAGTTGCAAAGGACCTCAAGAGGTTACCTAGTTCAGGTCTCACCAGAAAGCAGGGTGGGTCAGAACTGCATTCAGACAAGAATTCAGATGTTGCAAAGTTATTGCTGTACCGTTGTTCTTCCTGCACATCTTAAGAAAGTTACTAACAAGCTCTCACTGTTTTGATGAAATGTTTTATTAACCAAGCAAAAGCTTAAAATGAAATGCTGTGTGCCACTTGAGGCAACAAGAAATGTTCAGTTGTTTTCATGTTTTTGCTTACTGATGAGTACCAACTACCTGTAGCTCTAGGAGCATGAGATCTACCTTACCAAATGCATAACTTTTCAAGATCAAGTATCATCTACTTTCCTGTGTCCAGAAATCAGGCCCTTGGGTACTCTCTTGGATTCTCCATGGAGTGACAAATACTGTCATAAAGGGCTCACTTCCTTCTCTTGCTCACAATAGAGATGGGGTGACTGCTACCAAGAGGGACAAGGAGGTGGATGGTATTTGTGGGGTGTGAAGTTTCTTGCACATGTCTGACAGAAATTACATTTTAGAGCCATTTAATACTTTCTGCAGTGTTGTGTAGTCATGTTAACCGCTATATTTTTGTTATGTTGCATGAATTTTAGAATTGGAGACTTGAAAATAACTTGGAAACTCTTCTGTTTCTAGGCAGAATATCTCTTCAAGAACAGCCCTGATATTTAATGAGATGAATGTTCACTCCTGTCAGATGTAGAAATTGTGAAATAGAAAAGAGAACATTCGTAATGCATTTTATGTAAAAATACTTAGTTTCTGAAATTCCTTCTGTTTAGGTTTATTATGTAATCTCCAATTTTATTTCTCATACTTTATTACTAAGTCGCATTGTGTTATTAATATTTGTTCTATAAAAGTACCATTTACTGCATATATTAATAGATATACACTTCTGCATTGCTTGTCTATTTGAAACTGAGAACCGTAATAATCTGTTCTCTCAAAAAATTTCTTCCTTGATTTTTTCAGTTACACAGTCTATTTAAGCAATATATTACCCTGATCCATAGTGAATGCAGGCAGCTAGACTGAGAAAACCTTTTCTCAGAAAAAAGGGAAAAAAGGCATTTTCACTGAAAACGGTAATGAATAGAAACAAGCTTTCCCATTTCCCTTCCCAACTACCAAGAGACAAAAAGTCATGCACTGCAGTAAGCAGCTTCCAAGCACAGGTAGGTTATAAACCCTGGGGTTTTCTTTGGTATCAAAAATGGGTGTCGTTCTCATTTCAATCTTCTTGTCATTCAATATTTGAGACATGTTTTTTTATAGATTCTTGAAGAATCTAGACTTTACAGCATGTGGCTGGCATCCCATTTTTTGCTGACTTCACATACCTCTCACAGAAACTGTTAATATCTCTGCAGACACAACTGAAACTGGCAGCATATTTGGTGCAAAACAAATACAGGTTTTTGTCAAAATAGAAAGCAAGGACTGTTGGGGGGGGGGGGGGGGAGAGGAAAAACCGAAAGAATGACAATACAGAAACATTTTCAACTCATGTATTACTTTAAACATTAGCATTTTAGATGCATTAATGCCCAACATTCTTATTCAAAATATTAATATTTTTACAGAGAAAGGCTTTTTCCATTTGTTTTCAGAGTCACACAGGCAGGTCAGTGACAATAGCCAAGAACAGAGTTCAGAACCATCATCTTCAGCTCTAAAGAGATAGGTTTCTTTGGGATCTGAATTTCTTTTATGCTGTCAGCTCAATTACCATTTATCATGAGGCAGTCAAATATTAGCTAATCGGTAACTTTGGAGAAATTTAGTTTGGGTATCCTATTTTTCAGAGTAAAGATGAAAATAGAACACTAAAAAAAAAAAACCCACCAAAGATTTGGGTTTGCTTGTGTAGAGTCGCAGTAATACATTTACTTCTCTAAGAATAAAGTTTTGAGATAATATGTAAAGAGTGGCGTTTGTTTTTTAATACTTTGACATTTACGCAACCCTAGCAGAGCTTAAAAAAAAAAAAAACACCAAAACGACAACAACCAAAAAAAAAACCTAGAGAAGGATCTCGTTGTTTTGTGTGGGGCATGAAGCCGAAAGCAAGCCCGATGATAACGAGACGCGCACAGCTCCCGCTTTGAACCGAACCTCTCCGCTTTTCAGGGCCACGGGGCGCAGACTAAAGCGAGTTGCGCTCGGCCGAAATGAGCTGATTACGGACTCCGCCTTGCCTTCCGTGGGGCTCTTCCCCAACGGAGGGCAGCGCTGGCCGCCCCGCTCCCCAGCGGCTTCCCGCATGCACCAAGCGCGGCGACCCCAAGCCCAAGTTGCAGGTGCAACGCGCGGGCCGTCTCGCCGCCTCAGTTCCCGAGGCGATTACAGTCCGCTCCTCCCGCTGCTGTGCCCCCCGATGCCCAAGCACACCAACACTTGCACCAACCACAGCCCCGCGAAGCTGCGCCCGTGAGCCACATTCCCCGTCCCCAGCCGGACTACCCCCAATAGCCCCATGCATGGCCCCGCGCGCACCGGGCAGCGAGGGACACAAACACCACTTGACCGCGCACGCGCCGCCCGGCGGCCGTTGGCGCTTTGTTTTCAAACTGAAGCTCAACCCTCACCAGAACTACAACTCCCAGGATGCCCTTCGGCCTCGCGGCAGCATGAGCATGCCCGGGCAAGCTGGTGTGCGCGATATACGGGGGTGGCCGTGCCGCTACGTCAGGCTCCCCCCGGTCTAGGATGTTGCTGTGGTAGCGTCTGGGCGCCATGTTAGAAGGCCGGAGGGGAAGAGGAAAGTGAAGCGGCGGCGGTTTGGCCTACCGAACGGCTTTCTCTCTCCGAGGCCTGATCCCGGCGCGTATCATGGTCACGATTCCCGTTTCCCAGCGGGACGAGTGACTGGCCCGGAGGCGGCAGTGGTGGGGGAGAACGAAGAAGAGGAGGAGGGAGAAGGGGACGACGCGGTGGTGGTGGTGGTGGCGGCGGCGACGGAGGAGGAGGAGGAGGAGGGGCTGGAGAGACGATGCCGTTGTAAGTTAGAAAGCTGTCGGAGTATCTCAAAAGGCCTGTGGTTTGACGGCCTTTACTCAATGCTTTCCTCGTAGCTTCCCGTGCTCCCTGCCCTCTCGGGCCCTTTTTGCTCCCTCTTGCCCTTCCCCCTCTCGCCTGTCCGCCTCCGGCCCTGGGCTCTTCCGGTGCCGCAGTGTGCGGAGTTGTGGATCCGCTGCTCTCCACCCAGACTGCCAGGACCTGCGGGCTTTTTTGTCGTGTCCCTCGCTATCGTTATGAGTCCCGAAGGAGATGCTGATGTGGCTTTTACGTTGTTGTCCGCTCCTTCGTGATCTTATAGTGGCAGGCATGAGGAGCTGAGTAGCCACGGGGCGGGTGGCTGCTGTGGGGCCCTTCGGACCGCTGTGGAGTCAGGTCATACGAAGTGCCGCATGTTTATCTTTTTCTTGCTCCGGTTGCGAAAGATGAGGCTTTATTCTCTCCGGAGTCCTGACAAAGCCTCTCCCTCGGTGGCCACGCGAGCAGTTTTGCTTCGTTCCGGGGGCAGGGGAGACACAGGCGTCCGTTCGAACACAGGCGACCCGAGCTGAGCTCGCTGTCCTTGCAACCCCCCTGGTCCTCGGTGGCTCCGGTGCCAGGCCGCCGCGGGGACCTCGGTGCCGGTTGTGGGGGCAGCGCCCCCGACCGGCGGTAGCCATAGTGGACGGCAGCACCTCTCCAGCCCCCCGCCCCGCCGTTCCGGGAGCCGGGGGACTTTCTCGTTGAAAAAGTATGCCTTGAGCTTCGGACCGTAACCCTGCTGGTAGTGAGTAACGAAGTGGGAGAGAATTTCATTTCATCCCAGTTTCTTAGTTAGTTTCCTTCACCCTTCCTCCTGTCTCTTTCCGCCCGTCCAGCCCCCCCGCCGGGGTTTCTTTTTTTCTTACTTTTTTTCCTTACCGGCGTTTTCACGGTCCCGGGTTGAGCGAAACAACTTCCTGCTTCTCAGTTCTGTAGTCTGTAATGTTAGTATTTTATCATACTGTATAATTCGAGGGGACCAGCGATGGGTAGGTAGTCAGGTGGGTTTTAAGAATAAGGCATGTTTATATGCTAGGTTCGTGGTTTTTTTTTTTTTGTTGTGGGGTTTTGTTTGTGTGTTGCGTTATATTTTTTTTTTCATTGAAGGAGAAATGTGAAATATTTTGGGTTATTTTTGTTTTGCCACAGTTATTTAGGATTATTCATTATTATTTCATTGTTATTAATGGGGTTTATTTACTATTGTTTTAAATGTGAATTCTTCACTTTACGTGAAGAATAACCATACTTGCCTGTTGTACTTGTTTTATTCAGTCTGAAATACTGGCAAATTAGTCGTGGGTTAGATGACATGAGGGAAACTTATTTAAGTTATGAGAGAGTTTATGGCAGGAAAAACACAGTGGATACATGCAGAAAAGAAAATGGTTGTGCCAAGTAGCTTTTGATGCTTGTATAATGAAGTTACAATGTTTTATAGATAAGTTTTGCACATGTTCATTATGGCAGTGAAAAACTACCAGAAACCAGCTTTGAAGTTGGCTGGGCTTTTTGGCCTCAGGAAAGTGTGAGGGTATTTACTCTGCCTGCTTTCATTCTTAGTTTATTTTGTTGTGACTGCATAAATTCTGAATGCTTAATAACATCATCTTAAAGTTTGGGCTCCTATGAGTTGTAGTAGTAGTGATTTTAAACTTTGACAAATTTGGATTGACTCAGTCGTTTTTCTTAATGTAGGTGTTTATGATACTTCAGCTAGAAACTTTTAAATAACATTGCATAGTTAAATTTACACTAATGTATTGCTGTATTCAGTATAAACATTACTTGGCGACCTCCCTAGAACAGGATATTTATTTGAGTGAAGAAAAGCAAAGCTTTCTCAGATTCTGCATTAGTTCTGTCATTTGGAATGATTGACTTTGTATTATTCAGTCAGGGCTTCAAAATGAGCATTGTAATGCTGATAAGTTGCAATGCTGGTAATGTTAATTCTGGAGTTTATGACGTGATACCTCTGACTTAAGTTTAAAAGAAAAAAAAAAGGGGGGGGGTCAAGCTTAGAGTGTCTCTTTTTTGCATAATTCTTTCCAGCTGATATTTTCATACATTTGGATGATAATCTGTTTGAGTGAGTAGAACATCTGTGTCACTCCAAAACTTTCAAGATGACAAACAAAATACATGTTTTTGTCCTGACCTTTCAGGAAATCCTTTAAACTTTGTGTTTTTGTTTTTTGTTTGTTTTTTTTTTTTTAGGGAGGTGTTTACAGTTGACAGGCTAGTCAGAGCTGATCTCCCATACAGAGATTGTCATCACTTTGCCTTAAAAATGTTAGTTCAAACTTCTCAAGAGGTGTACAGTGTTGTTGATACTGCGCTGTGTGTACATGTGCATATTTCTCTTAGCAATATGGTGCAAAACTGTAGAGCCAAGCAAATTTTATGTACAAGGCACTTCAGTAGTTGGGAAGCAAACTTGGGATCTGCTGATGCCGATAGCCAGCACTTGCAAAAGCCTTTTAATGTTTAAAAAAACTCCAATGTAAATTTATACTAGGAACTTATGTGACTTTTTGTTACCATTCTCATTAATCTCTTGTGTGAAGGGATAGCAGCTGCATAAGGGAAGACTCTCAAACTTTCAGTTGTTCCAAAAACTGGTTAGCAACAAAGGTGAATATTTCCCCTATTATAAAGATAGGTACGTTATAGTGAACTGTTTGGTACAGAATGTTCCTATGCATTATCTGAAACATGAGATAGTACGAAAAAATGAAGCTCACTAAGTTTCAGTTAGGGCTGGGCTTACACAGAAAGGCTAATAACTCAGTGAAGCAGCAGCCATGTTTTTGTGGATTGATGCAACCTTGGCCTTTCTGACCCTCTCAATAGAGGAATGGCACCATGAATCTGTTCCTGGTTAAGTTACCAGTACTATTGCACTTAGAGCTTCTTTGCTGAACTTCCATGTCTGCTGAAATCATTACAAAAGTCTTTATTGATTTTTATTATTATTAACCAGAAGTGGAAAAGTGCATTGAGTCATATATCCAAACACTCAAGTGTCAAACTTAACTATTGTTGGTAACTTTCGTATTAGAGTGCTGGAATGTAGTTTTTTCAGTCTTTACTGTATGCAGTCAAGCCTATTCTCACTTCTGAAGTAAGTCTCCATGTATTTTTCGTTCATTGAGCATCGCTTTAGACATATGCGATGTCATTGTTTTCTTCTAATTAGCGACTGTTAACTTGTATGCCAAAAGTACAATGCTATATTTAAAATGGCTTGCACTGATGAGGAGTGTTTCTCAGGTTTTTATAGACTGTTATGGTGGGAATTATTTCCAACTCTGCAAAGCACAGGGCCACCCTCAGAAGAATTCCCTTGAAGAGATAGCTTTATTAATCAAGAAGAAATACAAAAATCAATACGAGAAGTTATTTGTTAGACATGGTACAGAGGAACTGGATAGCAAGTATATGTGGGTTTGCAATAGTTCCCAGTCTTCTAATGTCACTCCAAAAAGACTGCATTTATATCTTTTAACATGGAGGTAGCCCACAGAACTTAGAAACCTGGTTATTTTGGGCTGAGCAGATTTCACTGCTGAGACAAGTTAATCTCTTGCAGTGAAATGCTTTATGGGATTCCTAGCTCTTCATTTGATACTTCTATCTTTTGATTCAACCTTACTGAATTTCTTAAATTGTGACCTCTGGAGGTTTTTTTTATATTTTCCATAATAATAATAAACCTCATTTTTGGCCTAAGTGCTGCCTGTAGAATTCAGTAGAAATTCATTTTCTTTAAACTTGAGAAACTTCTGAACTGTTTAGTAAGAATCTTGTGGATGGGTATGTGTTTGGACATGCTGCCTTCACTGTTCTGTATAAATGGAAGAGCCAGAGAACTCAGTCTGTGAGAATTCAAGCTTGAGTCAAAGGTTAGCAGAATGTGTATGAATATTTGTTCTTCTACCAGGTGAGTCTCTCTTTCCATAGGTACATTGCCTCTCCTTTCTCCAATACCCATGTTCAAATCTCATACTGAGAGTTGAAAACTTACTTCATGGTGCAAATGCAGTATCTAGCAATTTATTTTTTGCCGGAGACTTAAAACTTTCAAGAAGGACAGATGGATTATTTTAGCCATCTAAAATGTAAGTTCCCCAGTAACAGATTTGCACAGACTTCATTAAGATTTCTGGCCTAGATATCTGAAGTTTTGTGTGGAGTGATATTGTTGTCAATTTCAGATTAAAGTTTCTGTCTTGAAGTAGCCCTGCTGGAGGAGTCTTTAGAACAACAAACAAACAAAACCCCTCAAAACAGTTCATCTGAAACCTGACTCAGTGGAGCCTGAGCTTTGTGAATTTAGCTTCAACTGACCAGATGGTGTGATGACCAGTATTTAGGAATCTGACTTGGGTGTATCTTACATCAGTAAATAAGAAAGACTGAATTTTACTGGGTAATGAGTAGAGGCAAATGGAGAGGAGAGGGTAGTCACTGAGATTCCTGAAGCTGTGTACTTTGTTTTGGTATCTGGAGGCAAAACTGAATGAGCTGAAGGTCCTGACTCAAGTTTAAAGTTAAGGTTATGTTCTAAGATGTTTAACAGTTCATGGTTTTCCTTGCTTCACCAGTGCTGGCCTTACTGTGCATGTCTGCCTGGGCAAACTTAATCCTCAGCTGAGGATGGTGACATATGAAAGGGTTTATATGACTTGTAGCAAAGGCTTGATGGCTGAAAGTCGGAAGGGGTTTTCGCTTGCACTTGGCCCACATTAGATCTTGGGTGGTTAAGATTTATGTCAGTGTGGGTTAGAGATGAGTTTAAAAGTTATGGGGGATTCATACTGTTACAATTTGTTAAACATTATGGCATCTGTTTTTAAGATTTCTGTTTATTTTGTTTTCTGTGAAGCATACTAAATTTCAGGAGTATGATGTTTACATGATGTAGTGGTGATTTCAGCTGTATTTTATTTGTGGTA